TCATATCTTCGGCCTGCTCTTTCTGTGTTTACAGCTACGGGATAAAACATGCAGAGTTTGTTTTTTTTTTTTTTTTTTCATTAATGCATTCGTTTCACTTTTTTCGATTCCAATCAAAGAACAATATATTACGTTAGATTTTCCCCTAAATTACTATACCTGTTAACATACCCAGAACATTCGTACGCATTAGTGCACAAATTTATATTTCCCGAACTTTCGTTTTTCATTTCAACAGTCCTCTTTTACCTCCTTACTTTCTTCTTCCTCTTTCTGCATCCGCATATTGATAAAACCCTCGCATACTTTTGGAACAGAATGAGCGGAGAAGAGAGAGAGAGAGAGAGAGAGAGAGAGACGAAAAGTGTGTCAGAGAAGAATCTGAGAGACTGCTTTTTCGTTACTTGCACTAGCGCGGCAGCAGACTTGAGGTTACTGCAAGTTAATGCCTTGATGACTTTTGTGGGTAAGTCCTTGGAAGTTTGAGACTCCCCTCTACCCTTAAAAAAAATACGTGCATGCTCTGCTCCCTTCCTCACTCACACCCTCATTTTTGCCGTCTTCGCATTTCATTGCCTTCGGAGGATTTAAACTATGCAAACTGTTCGGTCTGTGTATACAGCTAGGGGACGAAACACATAAAATGTCTTCAAACACATGAAATCCAAGTGAAATTCTTCTATTCTTCTATTTCACTCCTTCGTATTTACCTCAAATATTAACATTTTTATTCATTCCATGAGCCTGAAGGGAGGAGGAGGGGGACATGAAGCGTGGGGACAAGCAATGTTAACAAATAACCCTGGAACATACCAGATGAATCAGTGCAACTGCTCCAGCGTGAACGTTCCAGGTTACTCTCAACGCCATCCTCTATATCATCCGGTGGTGGCACTGACGGGACTGGTGGTGGAACGCCTGTTGGTAAATCCAGTGCTGTCATGGACCCGTTTGCTGTCACAAACTGCACAAAAAAAAAAAACAACGTTTATTTTTCCATGAATTTTAAAAAGAGTGAAAATAGTAAAAACTTTAGTCAAGAATTGCCCAAATTTGCTTGTACTAGAAAAGACTTTGAAGCAATGGAAGGCTGGAGGTCTAGACGGCCTCTATGGCACAACTGGTCGCAAATATTAATCCCTTTAATGCTGATATCAAATCGATCACTACCTAGTGACCACATCTAAAACGACGCGTCGTTCCCCTGTAACAGTTATTTTTTAGTGCCTTAATTTGAATTTTTGCCAAAATGAAAGAGACAGTGTAGAGGGTTGTTGTGATCGTGCAATAAAATAAAATCCGATAGGCAAAACATTTCAGCAACTTCGACAAATCTTTGCATTTCGCCTAATAATAGTGAGCGGTAACCGCGGGAAAGATAAATGATCACTCGAATGGCTTCCAAAAAAATGGCGTATTTCGAAAGAGCAGTATTACTTATATACTGAAACTTTGCAGCTATCGATCAAGGGGCTGTAGGCTTCAATACGTGCGAGAATCCTAGCAACAGCGCTGCACAGCAAAAACGCATAAAAACAGAGTGTGGTGAGGAATACCAAACCACTATCCGGGCACTCCCAAATAAACTTGGTTTAAAATAAACAATTATAAACTAACGGCTTTTTCGTCACTTTTGCTACTGCTTGCTGTACTTTTCGAATCCTCTGTTCTAAAAAAGAATTTTCTCTTGTTAGTAAAGATTTTCTACTTTCAAATTCATCCATCTCCTAAAAAAAAAATCATAAATTGAGCATAATATGAAGGCAAATTAAAAGACAAAAATCGATTGCAGATGTCGAGACAGACTGAGCAAAATGAACGATTACTAATGCATAATTATCTTTGGCTCTTACTGTTTAAGTGCCCTATTCATAAAATTATTGAGTTGCTTTGCCCACAAATACAAATTTTCCCGTTATTCCAGTTGTGGGTATACTTGGGGAGAAAAATACTAACAGCAAAGTGCGGAAGAATAAATTCGTCAAAAAAAAGCTTTTTTTTAATCTTAAATTCCGAATTAAGCTTAACATTTTGCTCATCAGCTCACGGACAATGAAAATCGCGTATCAGTGAGTGGTACTCGCAAGAACGTTAAACGCCCACTCGGGCAGCTCCCAAAAGAGGCGACACTCCCGACGAAGAGGCAGTGCAAGCCAGGATGAACAATCTGACAGAACTGCGTTCCTCACGAGTGAAAATGCCATTAACGTAGAATTCCTACGCTGATCGTCAGGGCGATTTTTAAGGACTGCACAAGCCCCCACAGACCCACTCGGACGTCCCCCTTTTGGCGCTGCAGTAATAAAAACACTGAACAAACAAAACATACGGAACGCTTTCGATATTGGGTGCCGGAAGGTCGGCCGTCGATTTTCTGCTTTTACTTCGGTATTTCTTTAAAAAACCTGGAAAAGATGAATTACAAACAGGCAGGACTATTTCATGTACAAACTGTAGCACATATTTTCCAAGAAGATATAAACGCATGCTGACTGCTAAAAATAACCTTCCCAGAAAAATGAGTTAAAAAATTAATTCGAAACA